ATTCTTTTTTTCTTCTTTTTTGCATATTTCTTTCCTGTGGCACGCGACTGTTCGGAGGGATTTCCGGAGATGGAAAAACACGGGGTTTCACCGGGGTTCAATCAGAGGATTTACACGTTTTTGCGCACCCGGATGTTTGACAGTGAGCTGAACGCGGTAACGGAGCCAGCCAAAACATGCAATTTCGAATGCTGGGTTGCGAATATTGTTCGGCTATTTTTAGTGATGTCCCGCCATTAAACATTCATAATGCAATAAAAAAAATGGCGAGATCAAATATAGGCACCAAGCATTGTTGTCTTCGGAATCGAACAAAATTTAAAATGAGGGTGCACAAGCAATAATTATTTCCTCCTTTCATATTTGAAATTATGATGAAACTTTCCATACATATGTATATATTCTACTGTACATCTTTAGCACGAGGAATAAGAAAATTAAAAATTAACTTTCCCCGATTTTCGAACGTCACTTGCGTGCATTTTCCGCATCATCGTGTGCACGTTTGGTTTAATGAACACTAGATGTCACTCTAAGATCTCTTCTCAATCCGGATTTACTCGAGCTCTGTAATTGCAGTACAGTACTGTATATCTAGTACAGTATTATACTACTGTAAATGCAGCGGTTAGTTCATTGCAAAGACTGTTGAAATTATACTTTTCTCAATGAAAATTGAAATAAAGACATTGAAATTGAAATATATGTTGGAAAACATTAAGTACAATACTTTTTCTGCTGGGTCGAACTTCACCCACATTGTCAATCAAACGATTCACAGCAGTTTGGTTCGCTTATGTAGGGCTTCGTGCGAGGAATCTTTTTATTTAAAAAAAGCGCTTTAAATTGAGATCACTTCAGGAAGTCTATTTCATTGAAAATAAAACCTTCCTACAATGCAATTGAATAGATGCGAAGAGTTCTTTAATTTTATTTTTCTTGGTTCAACGTCGTGTCAGAGCAGAATTTAAAGGAAACGGGCTCATTTAATATGGGATTTCTATAAAAATATCAGCGTTCAGGAATTCTGACAAAATTACTAAATTTTTCATATGATTTCACTGTGAGCAATGAATCATTTTGTAACGGCTTCGACATTCCTCGACATTCTCTGCGATCGATATCTTTATTTGTTCTGTCTCGCTGTTCCAGCAGCAGAACACACATCCACTCTGCTTTTATTTGGAAACTTGTTGACAAAGCGGTGGATATGAATTGTTTGTTTGAAATCGCAAGATTTTGTCTGACTGGTCCGCGAAAAATCTCCGCCGCGTTCCATTCATGTGTAACGAAACTGGCTTTCAATTTTGTATGTTTTATTTCTAAATAATACCTGCGTGATTTGCTTCACAATTTCTTGCAAGTGTAGAAAGCTCGACAAGTTGAAACTTCAGCAGCTCTTCGCGAAAATAATTTACAGAACGGATGACTTTTCGACCAACTTCCGCGACTGATCTTCCTCACATAATCATTGTTCGAAAGCAGATACTGTTCAAAGCCTTCATAAGTTTAATCGTGAATGAATTTTTGCGCGTCAAGCTTTATATTAACTGATACGGAATTGTTTGGGTCGAATTCCGGATTGATTCGGTCATCAATCTTTGATTGCCACGTTTATCAGCGGATCCTTCAAAAAATTCCCGCTCGATCCGCGGTATTTTGGTTGAGTGCAACAAAGGTCAGTCATGGCAACCATGCGTGTGTACAACAGTAGGGGATCCAGGGATAGGTTTTTTTTTGCATAATTGATGAGGATAGACGGGTCACAGGGCCACTTTGAGACCCCCCACGGGCGTGCCTGTCAGTTTGTGTCTTCCAGCGAGGAAGAAAGCCTGCGAAAATTTGCATTCGGATTATTTCAGTGAATTTAAAGCGCATTCTGCTTTTGACGGTTTCGTCCGAGGCCAACAAGAGAAGGGTTTTCATGCAATTATAACTTGTTTAATTGCAATATTATTATTCCCGGGTTTTAAAAGTAGAATAATAAGGTTGGGTATAGAAGCTAAATAAGCAGGTATCACGCGCTAAATTTCGAAGTCTATCATGGGTCTTCACATAGTAAAAATGCACTACTTAGGATGCTATTTAGTTCAAATTAATATGCCTCAAGACTACCTTGACAGATTTAATAGGAATATTGTTTGGGTTGAGTTTTGTGTTGATTAGGTCATATGTTAATTCAGAATCCGAAATTTTCGTTGAACAATCAGTTTGCAAAACCATCAGGGGACAGAAAATCACGAGTTTAGATTTTTTTTAAAGAATATATTCCATTGTTTGCATGTTCAGAAACATGTTTATTTTTATTTATCTGTGTCTAGTTATTTAATTTATATAACTGTATTGTTTTAAAAAAAACATGTGAGCAGTGCCAAATTTGAGAAGGAAGCACAGTAATCGCCTTCGCCTTGTACAGTGGGTATAATCCCATAAATAATCTAGCCCATTTCAGCATGATTTAGATTTTACGCTAAAATCTTGTGTGCAAAACATGATTTTCTTCGAGTTATGATTCAAAAATGTTGATCTGTTCCAGCCGGTCACTATATAAACATACCTAATGGACCTGCAAAATTTGGCTATTCGAGCAATTTATAAATAAATTTTGGGTTTAACAATTTTTTTTACAGAATCGGAGTAATCCTGACAATGTTAAGCTCTCTCTCTCTCTCTTTTGAATTAAGGAATTTTTGGGGCTAGGAAAGGCAAAACTTTCATTTTCCTTTCGTCTTTCACACGTACAGTTCTTTTTCTGCCTCTGAATAAGAATCCTCTGTCTGGCGCCCTGAATGAAAGGGTTGCAAATCATAGAAGAATGCAACTAATCCTGCGAGAGGCTAAAAAAAAAAAGCTCAGCCTTGGTGATGCATTTTTTTTTTTTTGGGCAAAATTTTTCTGCAGATTTTAAAAAATACATCAGGATTTTGCCCGACTTTGCCCTGGGTGAATTGTTCCTCTTTTTTTAAAAACCTGTCCTGACAGACACAAAATTTTGCAGAAAAAGTCCGACTTTGCCGCACAAGGGTTAAGAGAGTCCCTTAACGCAGCACAACTTTACTGCAGGCACAGGGTAACCACAGAACGACAAATAAGTACTCTCAGGTACACAAAAGATAATCGCAACAGGACAAATTGCTCTGCACAACCGCTGTAAGGCAAACCCAATCTCTGAATGAATTATTCCCAAAGTCTTCGGGACTTCGTCCCGGCTTCTGCTGCCAGAGATCTGTTATCAGTTAGCTACTGACCTGGTTTACCGCAGTGCAGCAAACTGGGTGCCTATCCGCTTCCGGGTCCCTGCGCTGCTTGTTGCTGCGCAACGTGCCTGAGCAAGGATGCTGTGCTTGGGTCACGCCACGTGGACACGACCCCACAGAGTGACTGATTTTAATGTTTCATTTTTTTCTAATTTGCTGGAAGGAAGGAATGATATTTGAAACAAGGAATGATAATTGAATTTGAATCTTATGATCTTATGTTCAAGAATTGCTTTCTGATCGTGTCAATGACTGTCTCGGGAAATGGTTCAGTTATTCTGTTGTTTAAATATACAGTATGCGCAATTGTTCAGGATTTGACACCTCTTTTTTCTGAAATTTATGATCCAGTTTTAAAAAAAATCTGAATTAAGCTTTGAATCCACCTTTGTGAAACCACAGAACTTTTGCGTGAGCAGGAAGTGAGGCTATAATCTTTCCCACATTTTCGATTTCACGTCAGAAAGTTGCACACAATTTCAAACACAAACACACGAATGAACTCAGGAACGTTTCGAAAGTTTGACTTTGACTTCTCTTGGGTTCAAAGCCATCATAAAGCCGGGTGGAAAGTCCAGGTTATCCTGAAAAACACACAGACAGGCAATAAATCTTCGCAAGTTTCAGAGATAAGAGTTCCAGTGGTGCAATCAGGCTTGCATGTGAATCCTCGGGTTCGAAATTGAGTACTTACTCAGAGTCAGGGCTTTTTTTTTTTTTTACTGCAGGAAATTTCGAGTGAAAAACTTACGTTTTCCGAGACGAGGTTTATCTTGAAGTTCTTCGCGAGATGAATGAGAGCGACATTCATCTCGTGTTGAGCAAATCGCATTCCAATGCAATTTTTCGGACCCTGGCCAAAGGGCAAAAATGCATAAGCTGGCCTTTCGTCCTTATGCGCTGCACTGAACCTGTGCAAAATTTTTCAATCAATGAATAAACCAAGTATTCGCTGTGGATTGCGTTGAAAGACTCGAATCATGGACACGATAATTCATCAGTTATTGAAATGCAGTATTTATAAATGAAATTATTTCTGCTAAAAGCTTCGAAATTTTTCGGATAGCTCTTTTTGAAAGGCGCTGATGGATTGCTGATTTTTTCCCTATTTTAACTGAAATAAATTTATCGGAATTCCAGCGCAACATTTCGAAACCCTGTCAATATTCGGCATGTTTTGTGAAAAGAAAAGAAAACATACCTATCCGGATTGAAAACTTCCGGATCGGGATAAATTTCTTCGTCGTGATGAACAGCATACACTGGTATGCGAATAAGTGTACCTTTTTCCAATTCAATCCCGCATAACTTCGTCTCCTTCGTTGCAATCCTTTCCAACCTGTGAAAATCCAGTTGATGTATTTTATCTATCATGACTTGTCAAATAATCCAACTTTGGGCAATGAACACAATAGATAAAATACAAACGAGAATTCTTACAGCTTTTCTCGAAAGAAAAAAGCCTTGCACGACAGAAAAGTTTTTTAGGATTCAGTGAAGCAAGCGCTGTTCTATGGGAGAGCTGAATTATGAAAAAAAAAAAAATAGTGCGCAGAATTTTGTTTTCTCTCATCCTGATATTAGTTGAGCATCCCAAATTACGAAGTCGTTTAATCGAAAAGTTGCTTACCAAGCTCCAACTGGGTAAAGTCGCAAACTTTCCGAAATGATCTGATCGGCGTAGACGACTTGAGCGTACATAGAGTAGGACCACTTGTCTCCACGTTTGAAATCCTGGGCAATGTTTCGATCGATAATTTAGTCAGATTTTTTCAAAGGAAATTGAAAACTTTCAGAAGAAACCTTTTCTTTAATGGCTGCTTCCTCGACGCGTCTGATCTCTTCGAGTAATTTTTCCTGTACATGTTGATACTTGGCAAGGTGGAAACTTGCAACGCACAAAGCAGCAGCAATGTTCTCGAAACCAGCCACGAAAAATATTAGACTCTGTCGTGAGAAAAAAAATATTATTCAATTCACTGCGTTCTTTCAATTTTTGAAAAGCAGTTTTAATCGAAAGAGAAACTTCGCACACGAAGTAGTAAATTCGGACTACGGAGAATCATAGACGGAAGCGAGATTCTGTTTAGAAAAATTGGGCATCTACATCCAAATTATAACTTTTCCAGAGGTTGAAAAGTTATTATTACGTTTTATTTTCTTATAAATACCTGAGCAATAATCGATTCCTCGTCCAAGAAATTATTTTTCCGACCGCTTTCGTCCTCTTTCATTTGTTCGAGCAGCAAAGAGATGAAATCCGTCGCTCCTTGATCCTTTAGAAATCATGGAAAATGTTTGCTTTTCATTAAACAATAAAAACAATGCAAAATGTAATTACTTGTGGTGCTTTCTTGTGGTTCTCCACTAAATTCCGCACGGCATCAATGAAAAAATCAAACTGCTTCATGGCAGAATTTGGCATAACTTTTATGAGCCAAGTGACAAATGCACCTGGCATCAGGGCTGGAAATGAAATTTGTTCAATAAATCACTATATAATGCTTCGTCAAATGAGTGATATAAGAGGGAAATAATAATTTGACGTACTGAAAAGTAGATTAAGAATAGAGTTGGATCCCTTTGCCGATCTTTCGGAAATTTCCCTGGCATTCTTGACAAAAACATTTTCTGGGTCGTCGAGGTCTTGAATGTCAGTTGCAAACACGCATTTCGCGATTGCGTCCATCGCAAACGATCTCAAGTTTCTGTTGATTTTTTTTTACAAAAAGAATCCAAAATGTATTCAAAGAATTCCTTATGAACTACCATCAGGTCTGTTCACCCTTTCAATTCAAGAATGGGGGATACTTCAAGTTGCTTCTCAAGCCGCTGCACGAGCGAGTCGCCGCATGCAGTCATGAAGGACGACATCTATGAAAAAGTGAGAAACATGTTAGGGAACTTTTCGTAAATATTACTACTGATGCTGCCCCTACCCTCTTGATTTTCCCTGATGAGAAGACCGGTGTAACCGCTGCTCGTGTTTCTTTCCATTCTTCGCCACGCAGGAAAGTCAAGAACTTTCTCCACACAGGCATCGTTATTTTTATGTCCTAAAAAAGAATGCTTATAATGTATTTCATCATTTAAAATTGCAGATTAGGAAAATGTTCCAGAAAGATTTGTGTAGGCAATGCTGAAGAACTGTTTCTTACTCTACGTTCAGCGAATGAGTCGAACTCTTTCACCAAGACGTCTCTGATGGCTTCCAAATCTGAGACGATGAATACTGGCTTCGTTCCTTCATAAAATCTAAAGACGTGGCGAAATATTTTTTGGAAAAAAATAGAAGATTTCAACTTTCGTAATTCATTTCGCTCACCCGTAGAACTTGCCGCATTTGTTCCTGTGTTCGATGTCCTCGTAAAAATTTCGCTGCAAAATTAATTCTTATTTTGTGTGAGTGTCACTAAAACATTCAAATTTCACTCTTATAAGATTGTATTTCACCTTTGACCACGCTCCCCACAAAGAGCCGAATAAGAGATTCAGTTTCCCAGGGGTTTGTACGCCTCGTTTTTCCCAGTAGGTGAATTTCTTTTGCCTCGAGAACCTTTTCCAAATAATCCACAAGATGTCACATCATTAATTCCTAGCTCACACGTATTCGTCACTTCATTAAAGGTGTACAATAATGCACAGGAATAGCTCACCAAAAATGGGCGAGTCCTAAGGCCAGAATTCCGAGTAGAATCCCGGTGACGGATAAACAGCACACCATCCTGAAGCCCGGTTTTTATGAAAATCTGAATTACAGAACTTCTTCAGTTTTCGGAGATTTCAATTCACAGAAATATTTCTTCTTACAATTTTTTTTTTTACACGAAGTTACTTTTTTTTTTCATCCGGAAGAAAGTGGATGTGGATACGGGATGACGCACCTCAGCTGACTGTTGTTTTCGTGCGCAGTTGCTGCTGTACATCACATCGTCACTGTTCAAACACCGCATGGCTCTGATTACAAATTTTTCATCCGGAAGAAAGTGGATGTGGATACGGGATGACGCACCTCAGCTGACTGTTGTTTTCGTGTGCAGTTGCATCTGTACATCACATCGTCACTGTTCAAACACCGCATGGCTCTGATTACAAAACTGCTGCGTCACGTATGTGCCAGACGCTGATTCATTTTTATTTTTTGGCACACAAGGAATTTTTCAGGCCTTATCTATACAGAAAGCCCAGATAATATGGTTCAAGGTTGATTCTTCTAGCGATATGGTATACAAACTGAAATATCAGGCGTCATCACGATCTGCCATTAATTGTTTTCAGCAGAGAACCCACGTCAAACTTATTTGGTTAACCGTGTCCGCTTAGTAAATTCATCAGAAAAAATAAACTGCCATTCGTGTCAATCTCTTCCTCTTGGATCGATTTAAATTCCGCTTAGGAAATTGAGTGAATCAATATCACTATTCGAAAATGCGCAAGTGCAATACTTTTCACTCATGGTTGACAAGAGAGAAATTCACAAACATTTTGCTTTTTTAGAACACATCAATAAGCGCCCATGCAAAAAAAAAATGAAAAAGAAGCCAATTTCAAGCCTTAAAACAGCAAACGATTAGAAAATGCTTTTAAAAAAGATGCCCAGATCTTTAAAAAGAAAGAAGGGTAGATCCTGTGGTTTTTCTTTCAAATGCATTTTTTAATTTCTACCCATGCCCTAGGTTTTTGTTTAATTTGCTGTTCGAACCGAACTTCCTTTTTTTTCGACCTCCACTGGCTATTTTTTTATTCTGCTTTTTCCGTCAAAATGAAATAAATTAAAACGTAAACCTTCTAAATCTGAAATAAGTACCCTTCATTGGAGATTTCATTCTATAAAGTGCATTAATTGCCCTTTTTTTAGTTGAGTACAAAGCTTCAAACTATATTTTCCCAATTTATGTTGGGATATTGTTTACTATTCTCATCGAGTCGCACATAAATTTTCATTGCTCATGCGATAAAAATCGATCGGATTTTATGCCAAGTTCATCTTTATAAATGCCAATTATGGGGGAATTTCAATTGACTTCAATAACTTGCAAAAAATAAACTGGAGCAAATCCTTGTTTTGAATGTAATTTTTAAATTTCTCTCTGAAGTCTTGAATACGGAAAAAAACGGTCTAAATCAGCAGTCCCCAACCCATGGTCCGCGGACCGGCGCTGGTCCGCAGGAAATTTCCAGCATAAAATATTGAATAAAAGTAGCAATGAAGTCTGTTATCTTTCTCTAAATATTTTAGTCCGAAACTTTGGAAAGACAACGTCATTTAAAATTATCTTATGAAAAATAGAAGTTGGATTTTCTCATAATAACACTTCACACATCTTCAACCGCTGAAATAAATTAGTTCATTCTGAGAAACCTTTCTTGAAGCCCACTTTCACATAATTTTTTAAATGAAATTTAGCTATAGCTGCTTCATTGGTGGTTTACTTAATTTTTGCAAAAAGCAGAAACTTTTAAATACCTGCCATAAAGTCTTTCAAGCAAATTTTGTTTCAACTTTCAAGTCTGTATACATTTTATGAAACTTTGCCGGTCCGCAGAGCATATTTTGTAAATTTCTTGATCTGCAAAATGTTTTTTGGAAATTTGCCGGTCCGCGGGCCCAAAAGATTGGGCAACACTGGTCTAAATCAATGTCCTTTTTGGTTAGAGGGTTTCAAAAGTATCACCTCATGATTCATGTAAGATTTTTCATTTCTGCAGAATTTTTTTGAAATGATTACACGATTTTGAGGAGATGGAGGTGGACTTTCTTAAATTCATTAAATCTCATCCAAATTAAATTTATGTAGATTTGTTCACTTCACATCTCGTAAGAGGATGACAGTGAATATTACTCATCATACAGAAGTGTTAATTTAAAATGACTACAATATCTTACGAATCGTTTTATCCAACAAAATTGCTGACAGGTATTCATGAAACTGATGCCGATGAAAATTATGAAAATAAAAACACTATCCAAATGGCAAAGGAATTAATTCTGATTGCATCGAATTCTGCGACATATGATGAGTACATGATGGTTAGCCGGAAATGTTGCAAATCTCCGAAGTACAATACAGTACTTTATCGCATCACAAGTGTTTGCTTTCGGTACTGGGATGGATTATTATCGTAAAATTCATGCAGTTTGGATTTTGTGTGAATCCAACTTGTTTCGAATTTTTTTGAACAAGGCAGAGTTACTGCGGTGGGGGTGGAAAACAGGGCGGAGAAGAATCCTTTAATTTTTCTGTCCCGATTTTCTTTGTGGAAAAAAAAAAGTGATCTGTGTGTTCCCTGCTCTTCTTCTGAAAACGCGGTAATGATACGTCTGGGATTTGTTGGCGAGCAAAAAAGAAGAAAGAAAAGTAAAAATGAAATAAGACCCGAGGTATCTGTGGGGGTATCTTGTTATTGCCGTCGTGCATCATTTTTATTGCCAGGGCTTCCCATTATACATACTTCGTTGTTGTTGTTCTTTATTCCGGACGCGTTTTGCTGTCACTTATCTATTCTTTCAAAACATTCTTCTCTTTTTCCTCATTTTTTCGTTCCACGCAAAATGAAGGCTTGAAACACGTAGGGGACCTTGTTCCATCATCATGAGCATCATCATCATCATCATCAGCATTCCGCGGCGTGAGATAAACAATAATCAGGGGCTTGATCCGTTTCACTCCTTTTGCGCACTTGTCTGATTTTCCCCCTCCAGAGGCAGACATGTTTTTTTTTTCAAAAGATTTTAGGATGCTTTCCGTTGCATTCACTCATTTTTTCGGATGAAAATCAAACAAATTTCAAATTTATGCCTGCACCAGAGAAAGTTTATTGATAACAAGCACAGATCTAAATTTTCCTTCACCTAAAAAAACGCAATTTTCTGACTTATGTTGCGGGAAATTAGTTTCCGAGAAATTGGATCGCGAATTTCAGTGAACCATTTCACCATTAACTTTTCGACAATTATTTACAACATACATACCAATCATTGATATGAAATAATTCATATAACGACTCTACGTCGATTATTATGAAATCAAGCTACATTTCAATAATGCAGTATTTTGTGACTATGTCAGAGTCATGAAATTTAAACTTTCAAAAATGAATTGCTGACGAATTGCTGTATCGTAAAATTGTAGAGATTTTTTTCTGGACATGCAATTTCGACAAGACTTATTCGTTTTTATCCTTCGCATTTGGATATTTTTTCCAACGAAATCAGGCAAACCCCTAAATAACGCTGTATATAGGTTTATAACCCAACTGAATCCCAAGACCGAAATCAAGAGATTACTGTGAAACACTTCGTGACTGCTGAGTCCATCTCAAAGCGATGAGCTTTGATCACGTGAGAAGAAAAAAACCCACTCAATTACCTGTCGAATCCTTCGACATATTTGGCAGATTTTTTCTGTAGAATAATATCCCTTGTTTTCTCATGCAAATCATGTAGAGTCAAGAGAGTGGCGTTATAAATTCGACCCAATTTCCATCATCTGGGAAAGACGGCGTGAGAACAACATCCACGCGTCTGTGGGTTAGAAAAAGGAAGTTGCAAGAAAAAAAACATGGTCGAAATGTTTCTGCTTGTTTTCTCTCGGGTTTTCTATGTTTGCGGGGGTATGAAAGAATTTGTTAATCGATTGGAAAACGAGGCTTCGGCGGAGGATCAGAGAGGAGATAATTTCTGCGGAGAGCGAAACAGCGTCGAGACGCATCCTCCTGCTGCTGCCCTCGCCACGCTTAATAAAGTAATGATAGTGTATCCCGACTCTCGGGGGCCCGATTTGTAATAAAATAATGATAGGGCTTTCGTCTGGGCCTCGGCATTCGATCCGGATCCCACAAAACTCTGCTACACTCGCTGGAAGGTGAATGAAGAGAGAAAAACGGGGAGAAACCCAGGGGGAAAAAAAAAGTTTGGTATAGAAAGGTCGGCGAGGTTCGTGTGACAACTGACCGCAGACAAACAAAAAAAATTCTAAATATACTCGGGAGATCATTTCTATTCGTATCTTGCATTAATAATCGTTATTTGAGTAAAAATTCTCGCAATTTCATTCTCGGCAAGATTTTATTTATATTTTTCTTTTCTCGCTGATGAGTATTTTTAAAATCATTCACGGAGAAGTCGGATTACAGTTTTATAATTGGTAACTTGCCAAATGAATATCAGATTCTTATCTTACTCAAGCACGTGAAGTATTATTTTTAAAATTTTAGCGAGAATCGCAGTCACTTTTTAAAATAAAACCATGCAAACTCAGGACACAAAATGCATAATGGCGAGACATTCCTAGACAAGTTCGGGTTGAGTGGGAGAAATCTGGATCAATTTTCGAATGAAGTACAGTATATACGAAGCGGTTTGAATGTTAAAAAAGAAATAATTGAAGAATAATGGAAGCTTTGGCGGATTAAGTTGTAATTGCATGGATCATCAGCCTTTTAAAGAGAAGTGCATTGTGCTTCTTATGGGAGTCAAGTAACTTGATTGGTATGAAAGCGTTCACTTTTCCATTATTTGCGCAAAATCAACTGGACTATGCATTTCACAATACTGTACTGTAAAACTTTCTGCGTTCTGAGGATTTTTCAAAATTTTCCCAGAACTATTTTTGAGAGGTTAGTGAGAAAAAGAGGACATTTTTGTGGTAGGAATAGAATGCAGGTCTCCAGTAAAATTCCAGACATCATAACTGTAAAGAAAAATCGAAATGAATTTCTTATTTTTTTGCAATTGAGCAGTCTGAAAAAAATATATCAAAGCAAAAAAAGCCATAAAAATGTTTCGTGCAACAGACCATTCGTTCCAATGAAATTTTCGTTGGTAACCCATGCTTCTTTCCATATTTGAATCAATCGGCACAGGTTCATTGCAATTTTCTTTCAAAATTGAAGCATATA